GGTTTGGTAAGAATAATCTGTCTTCCAATATTGTCTTCTTTTTATTTTTCATCATGGGGCTTGAACTCAGGGCCTGAGGACTATCCCTGAACTTTTTTTTTTAAATAAGTTTTTATTGTGAAAATACTGTACAGAGGGGTTACAATCACATGAGCAAGGAAATGAGTACATTTCTTATCAAGCATTGTTGTCTCCTCCTTTGTTTTTCCCTTACCATCCCTTCCCTCCCATCTCCACAACTACATTCTCCCCTTCCCTTCCCCCCGGCCTAAATTGTAAAGTTTCTTTTTCGACATAGTGTCTTGTACATCTCATTGTTGCAATGGGTTAACCTGTATCCCTATTTAAACAATTTGTTTTTTCCCTTCTGCTCCCCAAATTATACCAACATCAAATACAGTGAAAACAGAGGTTATACAGTGGGGTAGGGACATACAAAGCAACCAAAAAAATCACATGGTACCTTATAAATATGTTAGAAACAATAGCACGAAAGAAAAAAACACTTTGTGTCCTTATCTTGGGGTTCATTTTGCTTAACATCATCTTTTCTGACCTCTTCTGCTTGTCTCAGATATATACTAGTTATTGCAAATAAGGGAAACCATGGGACCTATGTTTCTTTGCGTCTGGCTTACTTCACTGAACTCTTTTGCTTATGGCTAGTGCTCTAGCACTTTGAGTCAGAGCTCCACTTCTGGTTTTTGAATTGTTTATTGGAGATAAGAGTCTCACAGAGACTTTTTTGCCTGGCCTGGCTTTGAACTTCAATCCTCATATCTCAGACTCCTGAGCAGCCAGGATTACAGATGTGAGATACCAGTGCCTGGCTCAATTTTTACTTCTTAATCTAACAGAAAATTGGAAGGGCTGATTTAAGGGCTGAGGGAAACCTACAAATTATTCCAAGCACAAGTTTAAAAGAAATGACCAAAAAGTTGAAATAAATATATAATACTTGTATAAGCCATATCCCATGAAGTTAATGGAAACAAAAATGGCAGGCAGAAGAATTACTTGTGGCTCCTCTCTTCATAGCAGATATTTAATATCAGATAACCTGTCCACTTTCTAGATCAATTCTTTAAGTAATGCACTGTCATTTTCATTTTTATTATAAGGAAACATGAAATTTATAAAGATTGGGTAACTAGACCAATAATTGCTTATTCATTCAATATTATTTTAGACTCTTGGGTGATATTAGCAATGTAAAGAGACAAAAAAAATCTGCCTTTATTGAGCTTATACTTTTTCAAGGAAAGAATTATAACAAATATAAAATAAACAGCTAGTATATTAGAAGATAAGCACCACAAAAAAAGAAAAGGAGATGAGGAATCCATGGAGTGAGGAACTTGCCTTTTAGATTAAATTCGTTACATGTTTGTGAGAGTAACAGTCTAAACTGGAAAGAAAAGTCAAAGATGCTAAAGAGTTACATATGTGGCAGGCCAGGGGGGAGAGAAAGCATTTTAGGCCTAGGAGAAGCTAGAGCCAGTAACCCAAGGTAAGACCACACCTGAAGACAACAGAGAAGTAAAAGCAGAATGAGCAAGGGAACTGGGGAGAGGTTAGAGCTTCTGTAGAGGTAAATATCAATGGGGATCATGACAACCACCCATTGCACTTGATTTATGTCCTCATGGGGAGATTCACTGCAGGGTTTACAACTGAGGAGTGATATGTTATGTATAGCACATGACATGCTGTAAATGCATTTTTCAGGCTGTTAGGCTGAGAAAGTTCAGAGAAGGGAAGGGCAGTGGGAGAGGCAGTAAGAGTAACTGGGATGCTATAAAATTATCTAACTTGGCTCAGTCCAGGTTGATTGCAATAAAAGCAGTAAGATGTATCTGGTTTCTGGATATAAGGGCAACATAGAACAAAAAGAAACCTTGAGCAGATTCATAACTTTTGGCTTTCGCATCAGAAAGAAGGCTGAGTGTGGAACAAGTTCAGGGAGCATGATAGCTCAATTTTGGACATATTGAGCTTGACATATTCATTACATACCAATGTTGAGATGCAGAGGAAGCATTTGGATATACAGAATCTAGAGCCAGAAATCTAGAGCACTCTCTTCATGAGGAGTAAATTTAGGAATCATCAGCATATGAGTAGATGAATTCATTACTAAGATAATGAATAGAGATAGAGAAAAACACAGAATAGCAGGTCAACAGTGGACACAATTGGAAGAAAACATTCGATCAGGCCATAATTTCAGAAATATTACTGCTCTTCTTATAATATAAAAATATATGGATATAGTACATTATTCAAGAATGTTAAAGACTGAGTCACAGCCTTCAAGAATACTTTTGAGGTCATCAACAATATGGCTTACACTTTGAGCCAAACAAGCCAAAAATGCATTTAAACACTTGGATGAATTTTTTTCTTTGAATAACGTCATTCTCCACTATATAAAACATACATAGTATACATAATACATACATAATACAATTATAGAGAAAAAAACTAGAGAAAGTAAGAAGCCAATTGCCAGGTAGAAGTTCTTCCAAACGTGTCCATATGACTTTGTAAATAAAAAGAAAGTTTCTATCATTACAGGAGTCTGAAAAGCCTAAGATTTCAAACCGTACTAATTCCTTGATTACTTGAAAACAAGATATACTTCACTTACTCAACTTATATAGTTTCATGCAAACAAATTATCTTGTCCTTTCTGAAATGTGTAAACCGTGCCTTTCCCCGCCTGTTTAGTCTGGGCCAAAGGAGACTGCCTGGCAGAGCAAAGGGTGTTCAGAAACAGCCAAGTTCCCTACAAATGTTAATTATGTAACAGATGTTAAGAAGAGTATTAGCTGCGGGGCCACACAGGTTTAGTCATTTTGAGCAGTTTTAAGCTTGCTTACAGAGGTGAGGCTTTTGGTCACTGGAACCCACACTTTGAGAATCAGATACCAGAATTATAGCACAGGATGAAATCACCAATATTATTCCATCCGTTGTGGCCGAGGAAGGTCACTTGCTGTCTGTCTGAGGTTTTGTCCAGGCTAAAAGCGAACCCTAAGGAATCCCAACCCTGTACCCCACGATTGTACCAGCGTTGTCCCTCTTTTGTACCCTCTATAGTTCAAAAAACATAAACTCTTCTGCTTTGCCCCCACATCTCCTCCTCGCGCGGAGGGACGATGTGGTGACGTCCTTCCTGGCTCTGCCGGGACACCTCTTCCCGGTGCCCGCCGCCGTCCCGCCCTGCGCGGCCCGCGGTCCCCGCAGCAGCCCGAGCCCCGCGCGCCACGGCGCACGCTCCGCACTCGGAGCAGGCGCGTCAGGCGCTCAGAGGGCGGGCGGCGGGGACCGAGCTGGCCCCGCGCTGCGCCCGCTGCAACCGAGCACCACAGCACCTTGGCCCTTGCCGCCGCGGTCTGGCCTGGCGGCTGGGACGCAGAGCGGAGTGCGGCCGGGTAAGCGCGGGGCGCTGCGCTTAGGAGGCTGGGGCTAGAGAGGACCGGCCAGACGGCGGCGGGAATCTGGGGGCAGAAATGCTCGGCTTGCCCGTCTGTCGTGGGTCGCAGCCGGCGTGGCGGGCCGCGGGAGCACTGCGGCGTGCGGGGGGAGGCCGGCTGTCCTGCACCCGGGGAGCGGGGTGCGGGCGCCGGGCCCTGCGGCGCGTCATCGCTGCGGGAGGGTGTCCTGGGAGACGCTGGCTCGCTGGAAGGTGCCCAGGCCCCGGGGCAGAGAGAAGGAGATCGGCCGGGTGGGTGCCACCCAGGGATTGGATGGCAGTGGGCAAGGCCCCGCTGCTCCTCTGGGTATGGGTTGTCACAAGTACCTGCTGCGGTGGTCCGCGGAGTCCGGGAGAAGCAGGTGCCTTTGGCATGGGGGAAGGGAGCGATGATTTCAAGTTGATAAGAGACAACTTTCCGTTGACTGTGGGTCTCAAGGGTTGTCTTTAAGGATCTGGGGGGATCTCTTCCTGCATTGCCTTGTAGATGCAAAAGATAAATGTAGGGGAAATAGCCTGGGAGAAGGGGGACACAAAAACATGACATCGGACATGCATATTTGTGAGGAAGAGGGAATTAAGTAGAATGCAGGATGCGACAGGTCTTAATGGTCTGCATAAGGCAGAGGGAAACAATTTCAGCTTTGGAAATTAAGAATGACAAAGGAGTTGAATTTTCCAGTGTTATTAGATGCTTCAAGACTAGCTGCTGTTCTTGTTTTTGATGCATCAGACTCTGGCAAGAATGTAATTCTCTTTTGAGCATAAACCATTTTTTATCAACGTGTAGCTAAGAAGATTATTTGGAAGAGTGTGACCATACTTGCCATTTGGTTTCCTGTAATAGCGTTTGGAATTTCTAGAGAAATCTTTTCGATGATAAATGTTATCACATGACTAGGAAAGCCAAGACACTAACTTAAGGGAATATTTATGTGTCTTTTGGGTTAAAAAGTTGCCTGAAAATTTAATGTGTATAAATAAAAACACAATAGATTTAGAGTGTGAAACTTTGATACTGAAATTTTAGCTTTGTCAGTTAATACAAAGAATTAAATGAATGTACCGTTTTTGCATAGATAATTCAAAGAGATATTTTGAAGAAAACAAAAATTAATTCAACTGTACTAGTCAGGCACAACCATTTTAGCATGAGGTATCTCTGTCAAATTCAATATCGATTTATAATTTTATATAACCCTAGAGTCAAAAATTTTATCCATTAGGCCTCACTGCAGCCTTGTTGTCTGTTTATCATATTAAAGTGACTTTTAAAGTTGTATTGTAAAAGACTTCACTACTAAAATTTAAAAACTTTATGTGAATAGTTTATGTATCTATATCTATCTCTTTAAACATACTACATGTGAATATATAGTGATGTAGAACCATGTAAAATTGAGTTGCTCTATGGTTACTAATGTTTCTTCTTACAGTGACTCATATATTTATCATTTGCTTGGTAACTGTAAATATTTCCATGTTCTCTCTTGCAGATTGATCTCCAATTTCACTTTTCAAGATGAAGCTTTTATTGACAATCACCTTTTTTATTTTAATTTCTTTGTGGGTTGAAGAAGCATATTCTAAAGAGAAGTCTTCAAAGAAAGGGAAAGGGAAAAAGAAGCAGTATCTGTGCCCTTCGTATGTTCTTCATGTCTTATATCCTTATAGAGAGAATGTTACAGCATTTTTGTTATGAAAGCAAGATCACTTATTAAAACACACATTCACAGAACTTTTCACACCTAATTATATGCTTATTTATTCCACATGTAGAAAATGACAGCTTGGAAAGAGGTTGAGAATGTGATAGTTGTTTCATTGTGCTAAAGATAATGTCTTATAAAGTTTTGTTTATGCTCTGGGTTTATACAATTTTCTACACAATTTATAAAATCAGGAAATAGTCACTTTGTTTTCTTATGCTAAATATATAACTTTAATAGACCATTGAGGTTTCATATTTTCAGCAAATAACAGCTCAAAAAAGTAATCCAAAAATGAATGTGCATTTAAAAAGTCATGAAACTACGATTTAAATGTTTATTTACTTTATATTTTACATGATAGAAGAAAATTTATTTTTATGTAAAATTCCTATTTCAATATTTATTGTAAAAGACTTATATTAGGAAATTAGCATATGTCTGAAAAAGCATGTCAATAAAACTAAACCCAGGTATATTGCCTCCAAAAGATAAATTTTAGCATCTGATTTTAATAGGAAGAGTTAACATTACTGGCTAATAATAGCATATAAAGTTCAGTAGAGCAGTTGAATAGTATATCCTTAAATAACATTGATAAAATATAATGTGCTGGAGGAACTAATACAGTATATACAGAGATCTGTAATAAAAAATTCTGCTACAGGTTATTTTTCAATGAGGAGTTCTGAAATACTGATTACTAACATTTTATTCTAGCCCCATCATTTCTTAATCTTACAGATGCTCTGTAAGAAACATAAAACTTTATTTTATGAAGTTTATTATATGAGACAAGGATACTGGAATTGGCATTTTGTAATTGATACTTGAATGGATGTGAGAAACTGAGTTGTGGAGACTCTAACATTAACTAAGGCCCAGAAAAAGCATCCTGACTATATCTCTCACAGTAATATTTACTCAGCCAGACTCCTGTATGTTTTATAAGATAGTCTTCAATTACAGATGGCCATATGGCCAGTTGGGGACCAACTGGGGGCCTATAGTCACATCATTTGTAGTTTCATCAACACCTGACTGCCAGATTTTATGACATAAACAGAACATTTGCACTGGAGAGAACGAGAGACATTGTTAGACCTTGTTCTTCAAGGGGAAATTTTTTCCCCAAGTTTTAGATATTGCCTATTTTAACCTTTTATTGGATAAGGATGAACATGTTGACATATTATGACAGATTTCATGTAATCATGGTGGTTTTCTGTGGGATTAAACTGTCTTGGGTAAGTCAGGTGTCCCTATATGAGGAAACAGGGCTTGTTCTCTCACCCATACCAAAGTCCCCACCAAAAGTCATAATGTTGCCTGCACTCCTGGCTCCTGATGGTAATCTTAGCTACACAGGAGATTGAATTCCGAGGACAGCAGTTTGAAGCCAGCCTGGACTGGAAAGTCCATGATACTCTTATCTCCAATTAGCTACCCAAAAGGCAGATTTAGCCATGTAGCTGTACCTGAGTTCAAAGCCCTGAGTTCAAGGCTAGTAGTGGCATGCACAAAAAAGTCAATTGATATGAAGACTACAACAGCAAGTCTAATTACTACTATATATCTTACATGAGCATCTTAGAGAATGTTTTATATCTTTTCCACAACGATGCTTTTAAGTTGCCTCACTGAAGTGTAGGTATGATGTATATAGGTCATTGAGACAGAGTTTAAAAGTTGTATTTTGTAGGTAGAGAATGAAAAAACAGAATATACTAATCATGAAGTGGAAGAGGTGACTGTACTCATGTTATAATACTTTAGATGGATTGGTAATTATTGAAATTTTATCTCTGAAACTTTCTACCATAGTCTTAAAACTAATGTTTTATATTTATTAAATGTTGAACGATAGTTACAGTGGTGATGCAGCCATCAATCTGGCTGATTAAAAAGTAGACGTACCATGGAGAAACAGTGTTGTATTTTTTGTTTCATCTCTTTAGTTAAGAAATCTCATTGGGCCTAGTGGTATACTTGTAATCCCAACGCTTGGGAAACAAAGGCAGTCAAGTGAGAATATGATGAAAACCCCAGTCAAGTGAGAACATGATGAGAACCAATCTCAAAAGTACAAAAATTCTTGGTGATGGTGCTCATGCCTGTAATCCTAGCTACTTAGGAGGCCGAGATCTGAGGATCATAGTTTGAAGCCAGCCTGGGCAGGGAGGTTGTGAGACTCTTATCTCCAATAAACTACTCAAAATAAGCTGGAAGTGGGGCTGGGGCTCAAATGGTAGAACACTAGCCTTGACCAAAAGAAGCTCAGGGACAGCACCCAAGCCCTCAGTTCAAGCCTGAGGACAGGTTAAAAAAAAGAAAGAAAAGAAAAGAGAAAAAAGGACAAAAGCAAAAAGGAAGAAAAGCAATCTGACTGAATTATCACTGATTTGTGAACTGTAGAGAATTAGGTTTTCCTTGGTTACCATTGGCTTTATCATAGCTAGTTTCTGTAGACTCTCAGGTTAAGAATCTCAACTATAATAATGAACTGTGCAAGATTATGCAAGTTGCTTGTTCTTTAGAAAATAATCTAGTTGCACATTTTGTGTACATTAATTAGCTATTAAGCATCTTGAATAAGGGAAGTATTTGACATTACAAAACCTAGAAGTTATATACAGATTATGATAATACATGATATTTTGATGCATTTAAACATTTTTTGAGTATCCTGGATGAAGCAATGGGATACATACATACATATATATATATATATATATATATATATATATAGTTGAGGTGTTGCCAATAAGACAAGATCTTCCTGTTTTATAGTCATTACAGTAGTTTTTTTCCCCAAAGTTGATAAGTACTTGAATGTTCTTGCTTTAAATTCAGAGAAATGCATTGTTTTCATTCCTTCATATTATAGGATATAATTTGGATATTGAGTGCAAGTTAAATAATTATTTTCTTGGCCTTTTCCTTTTTCTTTTTTAACCCACATTGTTTTGAAATACTAAAAATTACAACATGATGCTAAGATTCCTTATTATTTAGTTATATATAACCAAACCAACCATTTGAGAATCTCAAAGTATGTTGAATTTGGCAATGATATTAATACCTTGGTCTTAGTTCCAACTTTTTATTCTGCCTGAGTGATGTTATGCAGATTCATGACTGTGAATGCCACCATTCACTGTTAACTCCAAGTCTGTGTCCAGCTCAGACCTCTCTAGAAAGCACCATGCCCTCCATCCCACCTATCCCATCACGACCTTAGACTCACCTCAAAATCATACAGTCTGAACTCAGGACTCCTTCCCACTATTCCCCAACTATTCGCCTTTGCCTTTTCCAGTGAAGGACACACTACCGTCTTTGTTGTCCAAAACAAATCTAGAGGATAGCACTAGATCTTCTCTTTCTACCTTAGCTTCTCAATTTCAGCTGTCATAAAACTTATCAATTCAAGATGTTTACCATTTATGGTTCCTTTTCATTCTTGTGTGAATGTTGCTGTAATTATTTATCTCTATCCTCTTACGTGCATTCTGTTTTTGTTCCCTGCTTCTTGTCTTCCTCATGATTCTAGAGTCTATTTCCTACTCTTTAAGTCTAGTCAGGTCGTATCGATATTGAGAAACCTTTAAGAGACTCCATATCTTTTTGTAAAAGAGTCCAATTTCTTGGCATCACACATTGTCTCTTTAAAAAATATGTGTATTATCCGTGTTTGTACAAAGGATTTGCCATTCACTAAAGAGTTTATGTACAGAGTACATTTTGGTCAATGTTACTCCTTTCATCTTTCTTAAGCATACCTTCCAACCTACCTTTTCCCTTTGTAGGATATGTGTTAAATGCTTTTTTACACGTTGTCTCTTGAGCTGGCCTCCTTAGGAGAATCTTCTCCATCCTGGCTCCAGATCCTATTACATTGCATGAGTGAATCATGTCTCATCTATGCTTGAACTTTCTCATCTCTGCAAGTGTTCATTTCTTTACTTAAAATATCACTACTTTCCTTCTTCCTTAGTTAACTCCTGCCTCAGTGGTATGCGCAAATTTATAGCTATAGCTATAGTTCTCATTTATTCACCACTGTTTCCTTGGGGCCATGCTCTACCACTGAGTTACTCCCTTAGCCTTCTTTTCTTATTTTGGTTGTCTAAATTAGGTAGTCACATTCTGAACCACCACAATTCTCAACTTGCCTTTCAGGTTCATAATACCTTATAGTACTCATGAGTTTTAATTGTATGTTTTCCCCCCTAAATTGTAAACTCTTGGGAACTGTCTTATTTCACTCAATGACCAGAGAACAAGAGAGTTGCACAAAATATCTGTTATCAGAGCCTAAGCATAAGCATCTTTGTCTATCTCTTATTGCATCACTAATATCTGGATTTTCTCTAGTCATTTAAAGACAATCCATATATCCCTGTGAAGAATGCTTAGAAATGTGGCATCAAATCAAGAAAATGAGAGGAATAGTTTCATTTTGGATTATGGTTTCTGTTTGATTTTCAGTCTTACCATTTTCAGTTTTTATCAATAACTAAAAAAAAAACCCACAAAGAGGAAATGAAACATTCAGTCAAAATGAGGGCACATTGTTGTGAGACCTGTAGTGAGTCATATTCTAAAGGAGGAAAGTGATGTCCAGGTCTGATAACACCGAGGTAACAATTACAGATTGCTTTAGAAATCACTAGTTTGACTAGAGTTTGGGTGAAAACAGGTTGACAGAAAATATTTGGAAAAATATTAGATAATATAATGATGACATAAAAGCATATGTCTGTATAGTCTTCAAAAAAGGAATTATTTTTATTTTACTAATTCATTCTTAAGTATATAACTTTGATCCATAGAATTACTTAAGGTTCTATTTAATATTTTCAGGAGAGAGAAATAATAGAAGCAATTAAGTCATGTCATAATAGGTAGAGCTGAAGGAGCTCAGATAATTAA